GGACCAGAAAAACTTGTAGAAAATAAAGAAAGTGTGAACATCACCGAAATACCCATTCTGGGCAGTTTTACATGGTCCGGAAATTAAGTTGTCGTACTACTCATATCAAGTCCAAAAATTCTGAAATTAAAGTATGTAAAGCTTCAAGATGTTTGGAGAAACTTTCAAGAAGGAAGTGTTTGGAAATTCGGATCACAAAAGTCTCCACTAAAATAACAAAACGAAGGGGTACAAAGGATCTGAAACTGGGTTTTCCAGAACAAGAGTAAAAATTGGTTCCAATTGAAAAACTACCAAACTTAAACTATAGCCATTTCCCAAGGACTGAAATTGAGGATGTTACAGTTATCGCAATTAGGGTGATAAGTGAATTTTATATGGGTGTTTTCTAATTGATTTAAGTGTTGAATTATGCTCGTTTCGTACTGTTTAATGCCTGCTTTGCCCTGATAAATAATTGACCTATGTGAAACCTTGTTATTTAATTTTTAAAAGGGTTTTTGTGGACATATAAATAGTAAACCTCGAGGTGTCGGGTTTATAGGTCAAGTTTTATAAGTTAAATAGGGCAAGGATGATTAAAAAGGGAAGCATGCAAAGTTTGACAGTTCAATTGTGTGTATGTGTTCACGTGTGAATTTATTACTGCATTTTTAGGCATGAAAGTTGCAGTATTTTGATGTGTAGGCACAACCACGTCTGCATTGATTAAATGAGGAGAAATGAAATTTACTTGACTGGTTGAGGTGCTTGTGTGATCACATAATGAAAATCCGTTACCCCCGTATGAGTGCGGATGTGCCTTAAATGGCCGTGATGAAACCCTCGCCTGATTGTAGGCATGCCTTAAATGGCCGTGATGAGACCCCTGATGGATTTCAGGCATGTCTTGAGTGGCCGTGAACAATACCTAGTTAAACCAGAAGACCCCCGTGCGAGAACGAGCGTGCCCTGAGTGGCCGCAATAGATGTCGATCATGTTGGAAAACCGCCAACTCGTAGGGTTGTGCCGTGGCCCTGAATGGTCTTAATAATTGGAACATGCACAAGTGCATCGTGTCTGGGAAAGTTGTTATGTGTTTTGATTATGTTATATATTTATTGTATTATTATGGCACATGATGATTTATAACGTGCAGGGCATGTGACAAGACAAAGTAAGAATGCCTGCGATTGTGTGATGGCGTGTTTGTGTATGCTGTGATGAGTTGCCTGATACTTTGTATAACTAAGGCAAAGCAAGGGGTTGCATTGCTATTGATCTGCCATCATTATATCGCTGCATGTTTTAGGGCATTCGAGACGAGTTGACTTCCTAAACAAGGCTTAGATCGTTAATTTGCTGAGATTTATATCTCATTTGTTGTTGTTAACTGTTTTCCAGGGCCTTAGCATAGCGAACCACCCGATGCGGTTTGGGGTGCCGCAAGATATGGATAGTATTATTACTACCCATCATTTTCCTGGCAAGCTGCATCTTTTTGAGCGCCACCTGTTTATTGTGTGGGTGGATGAGGGCTTAGCTATGTGAGTCCCTCATCAGTTCTAGGCATTGTTCATCCATGAGGGCGAGGGCCTATACGATCCTATGAGAGGCTTCGATGGTCCTCCAGATGGGGGCCTTGGGCAAGAGTTCTGAGACCCTATGGACATTGACCCACTTGACGAGTCAGTGGAGAATCCCGAGACCAAACCTGATCCTATGTACCCGTCGAATTACGAACCATCGGAGCATGGTCCTAACTCGCCCTGTTTTGACTCACCGAATCACTATGTTGATAGTCCTTGAAGGACATGTCTGGGATGGGTTCTTTTTGGATGATCCACTTTTGAAAGGAGTAGATTAACCCCCAGCCTAGTATCTTTTTGGTAGGTTTGTAAGAAAAGATGCCCTTGAAGGGCTTATAAATGTGTTTCCTTGGGGTTAATTTAGTAATTAAATAAAATGGCACTTTGGCATGACTGTTATTGATTGTTATTATTATCCCCTGATTTTTTATTGTTATGACTGGGTGATTGTTGTCGCTTCCGCATTCGTAATTGAAAGATAAAATGAAAGGTCGGCGACGAGTCTTGAGACGTCGCATTCAATTGACCTAAGTGAATAGGGGTTGTCGCGAGGTCGAGGATCGAGGCGTGACAGAAAAAGTCCCAAAACAAAGAGGGTTAGCCTGCTGGAATTACACGTGCACTTTAACGGAGTAAATGGGAGAAGAAATAGAGAATCAGTTGATGATACATGATTTGGAGAATGAAGAGGGTTTCAGGGAAAAACTGAGGAAAATCGATCATCTCCACTCGAGGATCATGAATTTTGCGAGCTGGGTGAGATTAATACTGCACCGATTCAAGTTTAGTTTTCCACATTTAAGAGGAGGAGGGACAAGCTGATGGAAGAGGCGAGGAAGAGTGTGCTTGAGAGCGGCTGCCGGAGAGTGATGCATTTGGTTAAAGCATTTGAAAATCTCATGCAGATACCGAACCCAAAGAAGACAGATTCGAAGGACGAGAGAGATGTGGCTGAAGAGCAGAGCAGGAAGAAGGTGATGAGCTGGGCGTTACCGGGCTTGCCGCCCCCGAAGGCACCAGAAACGGAGGTGTCCTCGTCTTCCTTCTCTCCGTCGGCATTGCACTTGACAGCCGAGAATCGAGGCCTAGATCCGCGGGCTTCTCTTTCTTCTTCGTGGGACATCATCTAAGGAAGTCCACGTGGACTCGTTTTTAACATAAAAATGTCAAGTCCGATTAAACTTTTTCTTGTAAAAGCCACGTAATATTTTTTTATCAGAATTTCTCGTCCGAAGCACTTAAGTGCTCGTTTTTTCTTCAATTTAGCACTTAAGTAAGCCAGTAAAAACTTCTGACGCTTAAGTGAGCGCCGTATAAAACTTTTGGCACTTCAAATATCCTTAAGCTCATTTTTTTCTATGTAGATTTTTCTCTTATTATGCATAATCAATATTTTGAAAATTGAAGTATCTAATAAGAGTATACTTAACAGGTTTATGGGGGCACTCGTTAAAAGTACCTTTTAGAAGATACTAAGGTTGTCAAGATGTTAATGTGAATTTAGTAGTTATAATAAGAAACATTTCTAACTAAACAATGGATCAAGACAGTTATCTATGATAGTTTTTCTTTCATCCACGGCTTCCTTTTATACCGTCAAGTGAAAATAATTCAATTTGACAACCCCCAAAAATATATAACTAAATAAATTGAAGGAAAGTTTTCAGTCTCCTGCAGAGGAGAACGGCGCTTATTCAACAAGACCAACTCCATGATTAAATAAAGTCGATCACAAGGCCAGAAGGAACATGCATGAACTTAATCAAACACCTCAGAGTCGATTCAACTTCCAAGATTGCCAGATTTTTCCATCACATGTGATGCGCCTAAATTTCATCAATGTTCTTGAGAAAGTCCTTCGATAATGTTCTGTTCAGTAGCATATTCATGACATTATTCGTAACTTTTAAATAACGACAGTACAATCGTGCAATCAGTTACCTGCTCGGGTGTAATGACGTTGACCACTTGCGATTGTCAATGTTCTATTAACTTGTCAACTAGTTATATATTCATTACTCGAAACAAAATCATAGTGGTAATTAATTATGTACTATTCAGTTTGTGAATGATAAAAAAATTATTTTATTGGTTACTTACAAACACTTACATGCACACTTATGAATGGCTTAATTCCCTAAAAAATCCTCAATTTTAGGTGAAGACTCAAATTTGTCCTAAACTTTTTTTATCTCATAAAAAATCATAAACTTTCAATGGATTCTCAAATCCACTATCTGTTAGATTTCCATCCCATTTACACCGTTAAAGTCCAACTTTTTTTTTTGTTTGATTTTTCTCTCCCCTCACTCTCTCCCAAGTTCCACTTCGTCAGAACTCTCTCTCTGTCTATCTCTTCATTAATCCCAAATCATGGTGAGAACCAGACTGTACATAAACTTTCCAATCCGGCTCGATACGCTGCTCACCCAAAGCGACCGGCAGTGCTGCAAGGCGATCTCAGCCTTTGTGGATCCAACAGCGGGGAGTTGCCGAATCACGTGACGATGAGCGAGGTGTTGAAGTACTCCCTCACTCAAGTGACCATCCCATTGGCGAGCACTATGGAGCCGAGGGAGGTGATGGAGTCGGGGACGAAGAGGAAGGTGTCATCCAATGTGGTGGAGGAGGTGCCGGTGAGGAGGCCCCTCATACAGGGCGTGGGCCACCATCCGATACGTTGGATCACGCTCCTCCAGATGCTGAAGAAGAAGAATGAAATTTTTCTACTAGCCTTTGGTGGAGAGAGAGAGGAGTGAGAGTCCTGACAAAGTCACAGACGAGGGACTTGGGAGAGAGCGCGGAGAGAGAAAAAGTTAAAAAAAAAGGTTAGCCAGGTGGAATTACATGTGGACTTTATCGGAGTAAATTGGATGGAAACGTAATTGTGAGCAGATGTAAAGAACCATTGGAAGTTTGTGGTTTTTTATGAAATAAAAAAAAATTTGGGATAAATTTTGGTGTGAACTTAAAGTTGGGGGTTTTTCACATAATTAGGCCGCTTATGAAATCTAAATGTAAGCATTGCTACCATTGGGTTTGTCGATGGTACAATTGTTATTTCATTGATAACTTACAAACAGTTATCTTACCATTTCTTAAATCTTAAAGCAAGTGGTAATCTACTGTTGGGTTTATCGATGGTAAGTTGGTAACACTGTTTTACCGTTCACCATTTACTTAAGATGGATATTTCAATTTACTATCAACCTTATATATTTATCATCTACAGAATAAAATTTCGTTTTTGGCAAACGGAATTTTAGAAATATGCCAAATCAAAATATGGACTTCATAACAAACTGCTTGAACCATCCTGCTATAGCCAGTTCCTCGTCATTCTTCCTACAATCGTATGATAAACATTCGGAAATCATAATTGATGGTCTCCGCTTTGCAGCAAGAGACGGAGAGTGACAAACGGCAGTAGATTAACCAAGAGGGCCGGTTACAGGTCGAAAGATACAGAATACAATGTACAGCAGTATTGCACAACATGGAGAAAACGAAATCTATACTTCATTCAAGTCCCAGAGGAACAGAACGACAGGCCTTTCTTCCATCAACTAAAAATACCTTGTTACACGGCATCAAGAAGAAGAAAATCTAACAGATCTTGGAATGAAACTCGCAGAAATTACAACTGAGGCTGCAAGGTACAGTGCGCTTGCTTTTCAAGGTTGACAAAAGGGCACTTCTGTCCTGTCAAAGGCCCTTCCGTTTCTCTCTCACCATGGCATCCACATAATGCATTGCTGTGTATCACTGATTTATTTATGATATATAGCATCTCAGCTTATCAGATATATCATCTCAGCTTATGTTCACCAGCGCCCTTGATCTTCAACTCACACATTGTCCCGAAGAACTTCAAAATGGAACTCTCTTCTTGATGCAATCCTGTAGTGATCTGAAGAAATGTTGATTCTGAATCATTGATTCATTATTTATTAGGAACATGAGCTACCGTCTATCTAATGTTTCAGCGAACAGACACCTCGCAATCTAAATATGTTGAAGTAACAGAATCTCCTTGATTGATTTACCAACAATCAAAGTAGCGCCAAATTGATATGACGCAAGTAGCATGTAACTAGAAGCATGTGTTGGTTTGGCATTTAACTAGAAGCATGTTGGCATAGGAAGAATTTCACACTTTCAGGAAAATTACTTAGGTATTTACGTATCACATGCATGCTTTCGCTTTTAGTTTGATGGAATTCTTCATGCGACCAGGATTCTAAATCATGCAATGAGGCGTGTGTATAAAAAAAACAAAAAGGGAAGTTTCCAAATATCAACTTAACACTACAATATGTTGTGTTACTTACAAAGTAACCCGTCTTATAATTATTAATTGGCTTTTCATTTTTCTTCTTCCAGTTTCATATTACACACAGTGGATGCGTATGATTATATTATGAAAACCTTTAATTTCTAATTAATGACCAATTTTCAAAACCCAGTACTATCAATGAAACATCAAAACAACAAATTTGGACAATTTGGATATGCTCAGTCACTTGCATGATTGGTTCAATATTTACATCTAAAGATAAAATATGATTTTCAAACTTTATTAGAGCACAAGCATAGTTTGCATGAAATGAGAAAGGTTCACTTCAGGCAATTGATATTCTCAAAATTACTCCATGTCCCAACGGGCATGACATGTCTGTAACACATCCCTGAGATTTGGAGTGTCAGGTTCCCCAAGAACGTTGGAGCCACAAACAAATAGAAGTACTAGCATGTAAGTTCCTTTGCCTCCGAAATTTACCAAGTCCTCCTGCTTGGTGAATCCATCAACTTGTAGATCTCTGTTTTTTGCAAATACTTTTTGCTCACAAAAGAAAAAGAACTGCTAGAGTTGGTTCATGCTGATGGTTTACTAATAGTTGATACAGGTAATGAAACTGTGCAGTACTTACCTAGTAGAAAGAAATAACCTCCACCATCTTCAATTGGATAAAGAGAGCACTCCTTGCAGCTTGCTGTTAAGATCGCAACATGCATCGACCACCACATTGATATTGGTAAGGACAATCACAGTGCCTCGAGCAGCAATTTTTAGAGTGCCTCTCGCAGGGCTGATCCTGAATGTTGCAAAAGTCTATTTCCTTAATTTCCAAGCTTGTGCACTTTGATAAGTCCGGCAATCTGTGCAGAGAATAGCATTCAGACATAGAAAACCTTCTCAATTGTGATGCTTGTTCGAGACCATCAAGGTTCTTAATGTTGCAGCGAGATATCTTTAACACTTGCAGGAGCCTTAGGTTCCCAAGACCAAGAATTTCCCATGCATTGCAGTCACAGAGCTCCAACTCGGACAGAGTTTCCAGATTAGAAAATTCCATCCCCTGGATCTGGCAATTCTTGATAAGCAGTTTTGATAAGCTTGAGGGAAGTTGTGGGAGGTCTAGCAGGTTTATGCAGGACAAATCAAGTTTTCTAAGTTGAGTAAGAGCATTAAAATCTTCTGGAAGACTACTAACATTTGGAAGGCACAGCTTTAGGGTTTCTAAGTTGGATAAACTCGATATCCAAGCAAAACTTTCAGTTTGGAACAGCTCAGAGGAAGATATCTCCTCCTCATCAGGATCATTGACTAATTCCAAAACTTTCAAATCTCTCAGATATGAAAGACCCTGAACTATCCTCATGTTTTTGGTTCCCCAGTGCAAACTCACTAAACTAGATGGTAATTTTGGTAGAATCTGAAGTTCGTCACAATGGAGCAAGTGGAGGGTCTGGAGATGAGAAAGCTGACAAATGCTCTCAGGTAGGCTAAAAATCAGGGTAAACGATAACTTCAAGATTCTCAAAGATGACAACCCCGAAATATCACATGGAATTTTCCCAATCAAAGGGCAGCCAGAAAATGTTATGACTTCCAACTTCTCTAGATTTGCAATATCTTTAGGAAATTTTCTTATGTGAGTATTCTTCATTCTTAGCACCTCCAATCTATCCAAATTTTTTATCGATTCTGGCAATATCTGAATTCTGGTGTTTGACAGATCCATTTTCCGTAGTGACCTAAGCATCCCAATGGAGTCTGGAAGTGCAGTTATCCGCTGACAGTCTCTTAAAGACAGCTCTACAAGTCCCTCCAACAACTGAACAGAATTTGGGAGTCCTGTGATAATAGCTTTATCCAATGCAAGATATGACAGAGACCTTAAACAACCAATAGACTCGGATATTTCAGCCAAATTTTTGCAGCCGGACGCACTAAGAGTTTTAAGTTGCTGCATAGAACCTCTTAAGAAACGAAGGTGACATATGGAAGTTTCATCAATCAGAAGCTCTTCCAAATTATCCAAGGAACCCATCTCTTCCGGCAACAGGGCAATCGGAGTGGACTTGATGTTCAAAGACTTCAAATATTTCAAATTACCAATGGATTTGTCAATAAGTGACAAATGAGAACATCGTTCAAGAATCAGTCTTTCTAATTTGCTACCAGGTGCGAAGCATGGCGTTTTACATAATTGACCGCAACCAGTTAGCTCCAAAACTTTCAATTTGTTTGCCTTCTGTGTAACAAAGAGACAGAAACGGTTCAGTATCGATTAGCTAGTGCTCACAAAAAATAAAAAAAAAGAACGTGTCTTATACCTCCATTATTTGTGCCCAACCTTCCCAGTCATCTGCCACTGCACTCCAGGATAGATCAAGAATGACCAAGTTCTCTAGGTTCAAAACAAGAGGCTCAGAGCTCTTATGGCACCCTCGCCAATGAAGCCACCTTAATTCTAAAAGAAGACTAGTAAAATTTCCTCTCATATTAGCTCGATCCAAGTTAAGGAACCTTAAGTTCAATAGCTCGCCAAATTCCTCAGATGTGAAACAGTCATCAGACCCTTTGTCAAAGGTGAGACCAAGGGCTTGAACATTTGGAGCACCCTACCAGTTTGAACATAAAGGTAAATGAATAGGAATTGAACGTAGCCATAGAACTTTTTTTACACTTCTTCTACAAATTGAAAAATCGGGTAAATTACACAGATAATTAACTGCAGGTAGAAAAGAAAGTAGTTCTGGCTTTCAGGTTTACCTCCTTCTTCCGTAGAGTGGATAGGGCTTCATTGTGCACCCACAACCTACTTCGATTACAAGGGATAGGATCTTCATTTAAAACAATTTTTCTGCCTAGAGTTCTCAGTAGATCATGCATCAATAGCTCGTTGTTTTCTCCAATTTTCACCAAAGACATTACAAGGAGAACTTCAATACCACTTGAAGGATAAAGTTTACAGTCTTCCCACATGTAAAAGGCAATTCTCTCATCCTTTCCAATCAGAAAACATGCTATATCCAGAAATATTTGCTTTGCATATATATCTAAAGCATGGTAACTTATTTTCAACGCATGTTCGACTTTCTCATGAGGAGCGTCTTTCAACTTCTCCAATGTATCTTTCCATGTACCCTTTGACTTTCCGAACAAACGCGAACCTGTCACCTCAAGTGCTAAAGGAAGTCGTCCAGTAGCTGATACGATGTCCTTGGAAAGGCTTTCAAAGCCCTTGCTAGGAGAATCCATTCCAAAAGCCCGCCTAGAAAACAATTGAAGAGCTTTATCTTCTTCCATTGGTTCAACCTCATAGGTTTCAGCCTCTTTGAACTTCAAAAGGATGTCGCTCTTTCTAGAAGTCACAACAATCCTGCTTCCTGGACCAAACCAACTAAGCTCCCCAACAACCACCTCGAGTTGGTCAAAATCTTCCACGTCATCAAGGAGAATGAGGACCTGCTTATTGCGAAATCCTTCAGCAAGAACTGCCATAGCATCATCAGAACATCCGAACGAAACACTTCTTTTTCGAAGGTCTGAGATTAATTGATTTTGCAAGGACAAGATCCTATCATGTTGATGTAATTCTCGAATTTCCCTAAGATAACTATAACCTTGAAAGCGATCATAGAGTTGATTGTAAACAACTTTTGCAAGAGTAGTCTTGCCAACACCCCCAATACCATATATTCCAAGGACTCGTACATCACTGCCACATATTTCAATTACTTGTCCATTGCGATGCACAACACCGAGCTTTCTCATAATCTCCTGGACATGACGGTCAACTCCGACTAAATGTTTTGTCACGAGTAGTCGACCCTTCTTCAGCTTTTGCTGGACAATTGGGATGAGCTCGTCTATGAGCTTGGAATGATGCCTACAGATGGAGACATGATGAGAAAGTGAATCAGAACAACAGTCATACAGCCGAGAAAAGCAGAATGTGCAGAGTTGAACCAGGAGTAATGCACCATGAAGCAAGAACAAAGGAGGCATTAATATGCACTTCCAAAGATCCTGCATTTGAGTGGTCTAACTTAGTCTGAAATCCAAACGGTTAATTAAGTGGAGTTGCGAAACAATTGAACTTGACAATGAAGAATAATATCAAAATAGCATGATTGGTTCATGATCCAGTACATCAATTTTGTAAATCAATTTTACATTGAATTGGATTACCCGTTATGTATCTTCGCCGTTACAAATCCCTTTAACCTGCCAAACTCTTTGAGAGCCAGCTTCCACTTCTGGATGGTCTCACAATCAACCCCGTACCTCTGGTGTTCAAAAAAGCTCTTCTCAAGAGAATTCCTCTGGTCTTTTAAATCCGAGAGCTCGATCTCATAGAAAATGGGAATGGTTTCTCGACTCATCGTTTGCTTGCACTCTAATATTTGGACCAACTCCATGAGGCAGCTTTTGCTGGAAGCATAATCCCTGGAGATGATGGGAATTAAAACCTTCGACTGTTTGATCGCTTCAATCAGCGCAGGCTTGATGTCTTCTCCGACAGGCAGCTCATCATCATCTCGAAATACGCATATCCCAGCATCTGTCAAGCTTTTGTATAGGAAATCTGTAAAACCCTTGCGAGTATCCGGTCTTCTAAAACTCAAGAACACATCATAGTTGTTTCCAGCCAAGTCAGAGCTTGGTGACGCCGATGGAAAGTGTGATTCCTGTCAAGTGAGTAAATTGAGTATATCACATCCGCCGTAGAAGTATTGAGACTTGGGCTGGGGAGAGATTGCCTCAATTTATGCAGTCAAAATCGATATATATCCATGCTCTGCAAGTGCTTCTCGCTAATCTAATGTAATCGTGATAGCATGTCATGATGCATATACAAGAATACACAGAGAGAAAGAAACACAAGGGCCGGTCCAGAATCAAGACGCAAAGTCAAATGAATCTAACCGGGGTAGTCCTCCGCCTCTTTAGAGAAGCAGCATCGCGACCGTGCCGAGAGTCATCACACTCCCAAGCAGTATTGTGACTCGACGAAAGCGTCACAGTCCTCGATTCCATCTTCTTCCTCTGCTACGCGTGTGCGAGCGTGAGGAGCTTTTTACATTGCGACTGGAACGAGTGAAACACCATGTGAAAGGTCGAGATCCCACTGTTCAGGAGAACAAAGACTTTCCACCGGATCCCACACAAAACGTTGACTCTGACTTTGGAAAAAGATTTTTACACGAGTCTTTGATGTCACGCACCTTTTGGAAAATTGAGCCAAAAAATGTTGTCTTGTATTATTGCACAATTAAATCTTAAACGTTTAAAATTCAGTTCAATTAAGTCTTTCGCATCCTATGCCAAATAAGAGATTTTCATTAACGGGAAAGCCAACGGGGCCAAATTTAAATTTAAAAAAAATTAAGCCAAATAAATTGAAAAATAAAACGTAATCAAGAGAGAGAATGGCAGGTGAGGGTTTGAAGGTTTGGAGGCAGCGGCTAGCGAGGATCACTGAAGAAAGAGAGAGAATGGCAAGTAAGGGCTTGGGGGTATGGGGGCAGCAGTCGGCAAGGGTCGATGATCCTTGTTGTTGTCGCTGTAATTTTAATTTATTCAATCCGGTCCCTAGATAATGGATAAATATTCAATATAGTCCTTTCAAGCTCAAACGATAATTGGGATGTTATTTGATTATGTTGATTATTATATGTTGAATTGGGTATTTGAAATGACAAATCAACATGTCCATCTTTTTATTCATTTACTCTAGAAAAGGAAAAAAATTAGGCCGTTAATATGTTTATCATTATTTGATGACGTGAATTATTGTATTATGATTGAAGATAAATATATTGGATAATACAAGTGTAACTTTTTTTTTGTTACCCACCATTCAAACTTAATGGATTGGAAGGCACATCAGCAAATAATAGGATGGCATTAAATATTTTCATATAATTTAAGAACTAGATTGAACATTTTATTCATGAACCACATCAAACATATTAAAAAATCAAGGATGACATTACACTTTAGACCAAAATTCAGAGACTATTTATGTTATAATCTCTTTTCATTTTGTTGTAACACGACTCTTGTAAAAACATATTTGCATCTCATTTTTTAAATCTCTTTTTTAATCTTAATTATTGGAAAAAATAGAACATTGGAGAAAATTAAATATGCTATAAAAAATAGAAAAAATAAATTCAGCAATAATGTTAAATAACATAAAAATTGTTAAAATTCGATAAACATAGCCACTTTAATAGAACTAATTATGATAAAATAAGAAAAAGACAAATTAAATAGAAAGGGAAATTGCCTCAATAACGAAATGAGAAAATGACCAAACTTGGTTACTCATGATGCATATTTAAAGGGTGAATTAATGTAAAAACAATGATTGATTAATTAAAATTTTAAATATCTTTTATTGATCAATCATTTTTTTTGTATTAATTAACCATTCAAAGTACCTAATGAGATTTTTATACTTTGACCTTGTTGTTATTGAGGTCTTTCTCCATTTTATATAATTGTTTCTTTTTTTTAAATATCTTATTAGTTCTATTAATATATTGACCAAATTTTACAATTCTTATCATTTAATATTATTATTGATGTTTTCTAATATGAATATTTTAGTTAATTTACTTCTCTCCATTCTTTTCATTTTTTTAGAAATCAAGGGGCAAAGAGAATTTGCCTTCAAAAATATATATAAAAATACACTTTTACCGCTTAAAATTTAAAAGTCATGTGCGTGCATAATAATGCCAATGGAAAGATATAATGAATAATCAACGGTTATAACAAAATAAAAGTCCATTGGGGTACCGAGTAATACTTGACAGTTTCGGGGCAAAGAAGTACCATCTCCAAAGTTCAAGGAATTTGACGTGATTTCCTCTTTTTATTTTTGAATTTTTATGTCTATTTTTTGAATTTTGAATTTTTTGATATTCCTATTTTTCTAAGATTTTTTTAATCTAATGTAGCACCACATATGCTCAAAATTAAAAGAAACGCCACGTCATATTTTTTATGTATCACATCAATAAAGTTAATTGACATCTCACTAGAATGACTTGATTACACCGGATCTAAAAAGTTTAGGATTTAATTTAATTTTTTCAAATTTTTTAAGACTCAATTACATATTTAACAAAATTTTTAGGTTTGAAGGTGCAATATTTCCTTTTTGTTTTCCTTCTGAAATGGATACCAAAAGTTATACTACACTGTACACTACATTTGGTAGAGGAAGAAATCCGAAGGGAGGAGAAATTGTTTTAAAGTGACGTCCTTTTTGGATGGTGAGAGGGTGAAGGAATAGACTAGAAGGGATTAACAAATTTGATTTTATATTATTTTTTCAAGTCCCTCTAAATATATCGGAATGCGAAAGGAATTGTTTGTGTTGTTAATGGATAATCTTTTTTTATTTTTCTCGTTTGTATCATTATTATTTTTATATAGGTAAACACTATTATAAGTATCAAGTCCTGATACATTCCTTTCCGTTCATTTCTCTCGCCAACATCGAAAAACACTATGGCCCAATTATAAAAAAAAAATTCCACCATCTTCCATTTTTTATTTTCCTTTTTACTCAACTCTACCAAGACAACAATAGAGAGCACCATTTGATAAATAAATAATAGAAAATGGTATATTACCACCTTTTCTTTCTATTACTTATAAAAGGGGTGGGATGTGTCGGTTGAAACGTGAAAATTACCACTTTTTCTTTTATTTGCATGACTGAGTGAGACACTTGTGCTAACAATCTCACCTAACAACCTCTCTCATTATCCTCTGCTGTCAAGTCAAGTAGGTGTCTCTTTTGGTCAATCAATGTTAATGAGGCCTCGGATGACCCGAAGCCGTCGCTCCATACTTGCCGTATCATCGGAGAAGCCAAGCTCAAAGAGGACAAGCGGTTTGGCTCCAGGCATCGGCATTGGTTTCGTCTCGGCAGTCTCGGCAGTCTCGGCAAGGTAAGTTTCCCCCGGCCACTCTGTTTCCTTTCAATATTCGATCTGTGTCATGGTCAATAGTCGCTCGGATTTGGATGGGTGTTGGAACTTACCCACAAAGAATTCGCATTCCCCTTTGCCTCGCCGTGGTCACTGCCGTTTCTGTTAACTCAGGAGAAGATGATGGCCGCCGGAGCTTCGCCGTCGTCGGTTTGGTGGAATTGGCGGTTGGTCTCCGGTGGCTAAACCTTAGAGAGAGCAAGAAAGGTCTTCTCTTGTGGGAACTTTCAACTAGACCGTGACAATCAATACTTGTCATGAGCCAAAAGAAAATCTTGCAATACATAGGGTGTGTTCACATCACTAAAGAGCATTTTGCGAATTAATTTTTTCAAACTTTCACATATTTAATTCAATGAAAATGGTCAGTCAACGGGAAAATATTTATGGTCAAAGAAAACGCATACACTTTAAATTAGGAAAATGAATTCCAAGTTTTGAATAAAGGTAATCATTTTCATAAGCACAACAAGTCTCTTACCACGAATGCTTTTCTTCACTAAGATAGCATTTTTTGTGCCTTTCAGCGTATCACCAAACAAATAAAACTAATTATTTTTTTTGAAAATAATTTTCACAGAAAGCATTTCCTTTTATGATGAAATTATATGCGAAACAAACAAAGGAGCATGATATAGGAATTTTATGTACAATTCCATAAAATAAGGTAGAAATAGCATCAAGTACGGCCAGTCATTGTACATGTTCTTTTGGCTCTGTCGGTGGATGTGCTTTTACTTTCCCCTTTATTAAATATATTGTGCAAAATGTTGAGGGAAAAAGAGATTTATATTAGACATCCAGGCATAAATTATAGAGAGCAATTATAGTTGATGGGATTACTCAGTGTGGCAACTGGCCACACTTGTCATTCAGTCTTTCATTTCTGCAATCCCTGCTATTTATTAGTGTTTTTCTTGACTCTTGATGGCAGATCATTGCCCATCATAGCAACGCGAACTTACTGTGTTGGACGCCGAAGATATCACAGCCGAGATGAAGGCGAAAGATGATTGTGCAACGGACCATTTAGTCGGGATAGATGGTCAGGTGGAAGCCATAATGGACTTGTTGGACAATGACTTTGGTTGTGCAGGGTCTCTCGGAATTTATGGTCCAGGGGGTATTGGAAAGACAACCCTTGCCAAGGCTCTCTTCGACAAGCTCATTTCTAACTTTGATCGGTATTGCTTCCTACGAGACGTCAGTGGATCATCACGCCGTGATGCCCTAGTATTTCTGCAAAAGAAACTGCTATTCAACATCCTCGGTGAAACTAAGCCTATAAATAACATCAATGACATTGATGATGCAATGCCTATTAATGACATCAATGACATTGACTATGGAATGGAAGTTATCAGGGAAAAACTCGATGGTAAGAAGGTTCTGATTGTTCTAGATGACGTGGACCATAGGGAACAGCTTGAGAAACTAGTTGGAAAGATCAATTGGTTAGGTACAGGAAGTAGAGTTGTAATTACAACAAGGAACAAAAGTATCCTAGAGAGCAGAGAAAAAATCATACTTTATGAACTGAAAGAAATGAATTCTGATCAAGCACTTCAGCTTTATATAAATCATGCATTCAAAGGAGAATCTCCTAGAGACGATTATTATGACAGGCTTTCAAGGGATATTGTTTCTACTATTGGAGGACTTCCTTTGGTCGTTGAGGTCATAGGTTCATTTCTGCATGGGAAGCACAAAACAGTATGGAAAGATACACTAGAAAAGTTAAGGAGCATTGCTTATGAAGAGGTCCACCGGAAGTTGAAAATTAGCTATGACACCTTAAATTTCCAGCAAAAGCAGATTATTCTTGATATTGCATGTTTTTCCTTCCATGAGAAGGAGATTAATGCTTACATGTGGAAAGATCACGACTTTTTTCCACAAATAGATATTGAAGTCCTCAGATCTCTGTCATTGATAAATATTAGAAAGAATGGCAGGTTATGGATGCATGACTTGCTAAAAGACCTAGGGCGCCAAATTGTCCATGAGGAAAACCTGGATCCGAGAAAGCGTAGCAGATTGTGGATTTATGAGGAAGCTATGGACATGGTAAAAACAAAAGAGGTAATATATTAAGAGCACAAATTCTGTCTTTCTTTGCATAAAATAGGGGAGTAGACATGAAGTTTCT